TTTATATCTACCTTCTTGTTGGAGCCTTTAGCAAAGTATATTGTTTGAGTTTTTAGTAAGTTGAATTTCAGGTTTAATTCGCATATTTTTCATTGAAGGCCAATGCTTTTGTTGAAAGGTTTTGAACTGTATAGTCAAAATCATAGTCAAAAGATACGATCAGGAAGTCATCCGCATATTGGAAAACTGCCGTATTTTCATCCTGCAATGAGTGAAGAGGTGTCGTGTATATATTATATACTATTGGGCTGAGGCATGATCCTTGTGGAATACCTCCATTTACAGTGACAGAGTCGGAACCTAGCATTAGAGTTCTTTTGTGAAAAATATTTAAAATCCCGGATGACATTTCATTTGGTATGCTATAGTGTTCAAAAATTTGACTGAGTTTGTGTAAGTTTACGCAATCATAAGCTTTTGAAATATCTAACGACATCATTATTACCTTGCGTCCCATGCATTTTTGCTTTGCTATTAGGTGACATAATTCATTAATGCACATAGATCCTGATTTTCTTTTACGATACGCATAGCTTCTTTTAGGCTGGAAATTCAGGTTGTTTACCACATCTTCCAATCTGTTTTTAAGCATTAAATTGATTAGTTTTGCATAAACCAATAAAAGTGATATTGGTCTATAGTTTTTAATGCAGCTGGAGTTAAGACCTTTTTAAGTATGGGAACAATTTTTATTTTACGCCATTCCTCTACAACCATATTGCTTAACCAGCAGGTATTTAACGCCCCCATCAACTTCTCCAAGTTGGATTTAGAGAGTTTCTTTATCATGCCATATCTTACACCGTCCAGTCCCGCAGCAGTCGCTTTCGTCTTCTTTCTAAGTACATCGTATAGCTCTTCTATTTCGAAAGGTGTAATGTTTTCGCAAACTGTTTGCACATAATTGTAGGTTGGAATGTCTAAAACTATGTTCACATATCAATAGATATACCTCAATCAAAGCTCGTTTTTTAATCACCCCGTTTACACAGGCAAATCTCAGATGATTAGCCGTCAAATTTGTTGTGCTTGTTATTCTCACATCTCAAGGAAAAGTTATGTTTCTTCTCTGTGCCACCGTGATCACGTTTTTCTGCTATATTAAGCAATATAGATATATTTTACCTTAACAATTTATTTAAAAAATACCTTTAAAACCCCTTTTTTCCTTGCTAGCGTCCATTTTTGTTTACTTTTACATTTGCCATTTCTCCTCTTCTTCGAAAAACAAGCGATAAAACTAGGATGCACACCGAAAAGTTATCGGTTTAATCTGAGATTATTTTATAATTACAGATTAACAAGGGACTAATTTTATATGGCTAATCTCTTGTTATAATTACAGATTAGGGTGTTAAGCTCGAAAATGAGGATAATCTACTTATATGTGAACCTAGTATAAGGGTATTTGTTCTTTCAAATGTATCAAAAATTCGATTTTTTAGATGAGTCCCAAGGTTCGCGTATATTTGGGCTGCTCGCCAGAGCTTTGTGACGTCGGACTGAAGTCCAGAATTCTCTACCGGAGCTACTTTTACTTATGTTATTTAGATGTTCCTGCTTTGATTCCTTCTTAGCTTTGTTTTTGGCCTCATTCCAAACTTTGACTGCTTCTGTATAATGGTTATAGTTAGTTGGATTGCAGAATCGTTTTAACTTAGCTCGTGCAGCTGTCATTCTCCTGAATAGGCGAGCAAGAGATTCGCTCCACCATGATTTCGGGGTCTTACATTCTTCCGAGGGGACTTGCATCATAGCATTTGAAATAGCTGTTTTGAAAGATTCTGTTATATCATGAATGGAGGTTGGGAGTGTAAGGCCGGTTATTGATTCGTAGAGTTTTTTGTTAGATCTAAAGGTTATGAATTGTGGAGGTGCTAAAGACTGATATTCAAATATAATCGGGATATGATGACTTTTACCCAGATATGCATTAGAGATATCCCAAGAAAAGTCATTTGTTAAAAGGTTAGAAAAAGTTAAATCTAAAACGCTGCTATGTGTTCCTGCACGTTGGAACGATTGAGAGTAAGTATGCTTATTGTTATTTAAACAAACAAGGTTAGTTGCTCTTAGCATGTCATTAAGCAATAGCTCTGATCCAGTACTCCATGAACTTACAGGATTTTACACGAACTTGCAGGAAGTTGCAGGAAAAATGTTCCCGTGCTCCAAAATCCTGTAAATGAGAGCGACTTTTGGAGAGTTGTGTAGAGAATGAAGTTGCAAGATTTTACCCGAACTTTTTCTTCTGGTAAAATCATGAAAAGTGTCAAGAAATCACTGGTTGACGTTTTTACAGGAAAAATGGTTTTTTGTTCCCGTACTTTTTGTTGTTACTCACTTTTTACTCTCACTTAAGAGAGTAATTTTGCTGTTTGACAGTTTTACAGGATTTTTCACGAAAAGTATTGGATCAGAGCTAATATTCCTTTCGGTAGAGATACGGTATCGCCAAAAGTCGAGCATCGTGCATTAAAGTCTCCGCCTATAATTTTATTGTTATTTTTACTTGCAAAATTGAAAATTACATTGCACGCATTCATAAAATCTGATCGATGCATGTTGGGGTGAAAATAGATAGAAATAATATTTATATTTATATTGAGGTTAGTTGTACGAATTGCTAGTATTTCATAGTTAGTTTCAAGTCGTACTCTCTTGAAGCGGATGTTCTTTTTAATGGCTATGGCCACACCACCAAACCTGCTTTGACGAAATTTGTATACAAGATTGTAGTTGAGTAACCTTAAATTAAAATCATTTTCATTGAATGAGAAAATTTCAGACAATATTACAAAATCTATGTTATTATTATTTATGAAATATTCGAGATCATTTTTGTTAGCTCTATAACTTTGAATATTATACTGTAGAAACTTCATTTAAATTGTCACCAGCATCGGCCACGTTATCGCGGCTATCTAGAAGGTTATACTTAGTTTTCAAATTGTTGAACATTTCAATGCTTTCTGGTTCCTTCACATACTTACATAGATGAGCACACATTTTATTAAGTTCGTTTATTATTCTTTCTAGCTCTGTAACTCTGTGTGGGTTTACTAGGCATACTCCTAGCGGTTCAGGGTTTGTATTAACCACTCTTTCCTTGCGTATTTTTTCTTGCGGCCCTATAAGAGCGCCCTTTACAACTTTATTGTATTTAGTTTTGGTTAGAATCTTGTTAACCTCACTCTGTGTGTCTCTTTGCGTATTTCGTACGCTTTGTCTGCTTGTGCTCGGAAACTCCTCTTCATAATTTTCTAGCAATGCAAAACGATTTTGAGATCCGTATTTTTCTCTGTATTCAAGGTATGAGATGTTTTCTATGGTCATAATTTTTTTTATATCTTGCCGATTGATTCGGGCCGGACATGACTTCACTTCTGAAGTGTGATCTCCTGCGCCACACAACAGGCATTTCATCTGGCCACACGCAGGGTCACAGCGTGGAATTATACCACACTGTAAGCACCTGGCCTCCTTGGCCTTACAAAAAGCTGCTATATGTCCCAACCTACCACACTTCTTGCATTGCTTGACTGCGGGAACGAAATAGTCGACCTCGCATATGCACCTACATAACTCTCTTCTGCTTAGTCTGTTCACTGATATAATAGGGATTTCACTCTCAATGTTTTCAAATATAAAGGCATCTGTATATTTTAGAGGAACCTTTCTGATTATACCATATTTCTCTGTGAATGATCTGGGTATATACGCCAGCGCTTTCCTACTTTTAAAGTCATGTCCGGTTACAAAAATCATTTGCATCACTTGCACGATCAAAAGTTAGTTTGGCTCGCCCGTTCCCCAAGGCTTTGAGGTCGGACAGCCCATCTAGGCACAAATCATCTATAAGCTCCATAAAGAAGAGGTTAGAGAGGACCCTCCTTCTTAACCCCTTCTCGTCGGGCACTACTTCTAGAAATACAATGAACTTTACCTGGTCATTTGGATCATATAGAAAGGTATGCTTTTCAGCTTGCTTTGGCATTGGATGCTTTATATTACTCGAAGGAGCCACAGATGAAACCTCGTGCGACATCTCTTCGGATTCGCACAACCCCCCTGTTACCTCCATCGAAGTGTTGTTGTTGTTGTTGTAGCGGCTACAATAGCCCCGCCCAGATCGGTTGGTATCTCAGTCGTTGTCGTCAAGTTCCACTAACGGCAACCCTAGGAAGCGTGCAGCTTCTGTGGGATCTGTCCACAGGGACAAGGCCGTTAGGGTTGTCGGGTTTTCCGGGCATGCGAAGAGATGGTTCGAGTCATGTGGGGTCTCTCTGCATGCCGGACATTCGTTCGGCACATCCTCATTCAACCTACTCAAGTAGGAGTTTAACCTGCTGCAGTAGCCGGAGCGAAGTTGAGCGAGTGTAGTGCGTGTCTCCCGAGGCAGATGAAGCTCTGTCTCGTCTATGTCATTCCCACGACAGCCGGTTCTACGTACCGGAATGACTCGGGTTTCACCCGACCAAGGGCTGTTGTTTCGGCGATCTAACCCCGTTTAGGTCGGCGAAGTATCTCAGAAGTTGTCCGTCCATGGGGCAACATTCACTACGCATTCCATCGAAGTGTCAGTTCCCTTTATCAAAAGTTCAGCACATCGCAGCTTCGCATTCTTAGAATTATCTAATATTCTGAGTTTGAGCTTTTTCCTTCGGGCATTAGACCTAGCCTCCATCGGGAGGTAGGCTCCTGCAAGTTAATAGTTGTCTCCGAATTAAGGAAAATCTATTAATATACTGATGTGTATATTATGTTTTTATAACTGTAGATCAAGGTAGATGAAAATTATTTTGCTTTGCTTTTTTCTTTAATTTGTCTAATTAAGTTTTTAGTCAGTAGCCAGTAGCGTCTATTAGCTATTAGCGTTTATTACCTAAAGTGCGCATTTACCCTAATTTCACGTGTTCTAAATTTTTGAAATGGCAATACGGCTTGTTTACAAAAATTTGACATTTTGCATGTCCACTTTTGACAATCAGTTGTTAGCGTAATTTGCTGATTTCCTTTATAAACTGTTTTCATTTAGCCACACGGGCGAAATAAACTTATAGAGCTAAAAAGTTCTGTATTGTTTCCAAAATGCCACCAAAAAAAGCTCCAGCTGCAAGCAAAAAGACCGAACAAAAGAAGAAGGAGAAGGTCATTGAGGTAAGTACAAATTCACATTGGAATCCCCGCTGACGGAATGTTCAAGTATGCCTAACCTAACTTTTCACTGCTTATACTGATTCTTGTGCACCGCCACCTCACAATCAAATAAATTGGGGACTGAATGCAGGATAAGACTTTTGGTTTGAAGAACAAGAAAGGCTCCAAACAGCAAAAATTCATACAGCAAGTGCAGAAGCAAGTGCAGTCTGGCGGCCAGCACCCACGTACCGATGTCGATAAACGAAAGGAAGAAAAGGAGAAAAAACTGCTAGAACAGCGTGAATTGGCGAAGATTTTCCGACCTGTGCAAGCGCAGAAAGTGGAGAAGGGTACAGATCCAAAATCTGTGGTGTGTGCGTTCTTCAAGCAGGGCAGCTGTACTAAGGGTGATAGGTGCAAGTTCTCACACGACTTGTCCATCGAACAAAAGGTAAGCGGGAGTTGGTGCACGAAAAAATTTAAATATAAAATATAACTTTATGTTCATTTTAATTGTATTCCAATAGGCGGAGAAGCGTTCAATATACGTAGATATGCGCGATGATGATCCTGATGACAATATGTCCAATTGGGATGACGCCAAGTTAAAGGAAGTTGTGGATAAGAAACACTCCGAAGAAAAGAAAAGACCAACCACGGATATTGTAAGAAAATCGAAATGGTTTTTCTTATTTAAAAATTATATTCCCGTTTCCTTTTAAAGATTTGTAAATACTTCCTGGAAGCAGTTGAAAAATCCAAATACGGTTGGTTTTGGGAATGTCCTAACGGCGGAAAATGTATCTACCGCCACGCTTTACCTCAAGGATATGTGCTCAAAAAGGATAAGAAGAAGGATGACAAACCCAGCGAGATTTCCTTGGTCGACTTAATCGAAAGAGAGCGTGCTGCATTGGGCTCAAATCAAACACGCGTCACGCTGGAAACGTTTTTGGCTTGGAAGAAACGCAAAATACAAGAAAAGAAAGATAAAATGGCTGCTGAGGAAGAAAAGAAGAAAAGCGATTTCAGCAAGGGCAAACAATTTGGCATTTCTGGTAGGGAAATGTTCAGTTTCAATCCTGATCTTGTCGACGACGGTCCAATGGAGGATGGTGATGCAGCATTCGATAACTATGCGCGTTCAGATGACGAAGACGCTATGGAATTCAAGGAATTGGATTTGACTGCACTTTCATTGGCAGCACAAGAAGCTGATGGAACGGGAACTGTAGCCTCTGAATCGCGTTTGCAGGAGCAATCCGATGCGGCGGCGAAGCAGTCTGCAGAAGAGGAAGCAGCTGCGGCCGCTGCAGAAACAAATGATGAAAATAGTACACCTGCGAATGATGCGGCACCTATCAATAAGGAACTTTTCATGGGTCTGGTCGATGAGCTAGAAGACTTGGATATTGATGATGAAGACGATGATGATGACGACGACGACGACGACTAAACCACAAAATCCACAAATGTAATTTTATTGCGCCTTCTCTTAGTGGCTAAAATATCAGTTTATTTAATAGCAGCAATTGCACGTGATCTGCTAAAAATTCAAGAGAATATCGAAGGTAATTACAGTAACTAGTAGCTTTTCTGAAATGATATAATGTTGAATTACAAAAATTTATTAAAACTACAAAATTCCCTATAAATGTGGTTAATGGTTCTTAACTGAAAATTTATTTGCAGCTCATTTCATCCATTAACATTAGTTATTTAAAACCTTATAAATATTAAAACGTTCTTACGCTGACTACCAAAATGACGGCGGTAGCGTACCTTGTGGCGCCGAAATTTGTTTCTGATTCAAGTAATCCATTAAGAGCATCTCTAAGCGCGTGCGTGGGCCACCTTCATCCACTTGTGCGAGCCTAGCAAAATAATCGCGTGAAATATACAACAGCAGCTTGGTGAATTGTTTGCCGTACGTGCGGCACATAGAAAAGCCCAGCGTCTGCAGCATCTCCAAAATTAATGTCGCACTTATGTCGGGCAGAGGTTCGAGACTGCTAAAGTCCACAAGCCAGCGCCAAGCATGCTGAAGTCCATACGGGTGATCTGGGCCTTCAGCCCGTCGTCCATTCGTAATCATTACAGCAGCATATAAGCGCGTAATGCCCGCTTGTCGTTTGAGGTCGTTGTACTCTTCTACGGATTTGCCACGTAGCGGCACAAGAAACGGTGATTCCTTGAAGATATACGCAAGGAAAAGTTTCCCAAAATCTGGTATTAGCTTCCAGAGAGAGACCACAACTGATGCAACTGGAAAGGCGGCTTGGGGATTGCTAGAAATAGCTGTCTCGCCTTGGTTAACAAATCGTTTCGCGGTCAACAGCAGACAATAATTGCGGCCCAACGGATGATCGTTAACACTAACTTGCCCATCAGCAGTTTTTAGCGGTTGTCCATTGAGAAAGTTGAAAATTCGTTCGAATTTATCCTAATAAGTTGGGGGAAAAAGTACTTTTTTTTTTGAAAATTTTAACATTTGCACTTAGCGACATACAAACCTGCAAATGCTGTGGATTGACTGCCGATATAGCATTTAATGGTATGTTGATCGCTTTCTGGCATGCGAATCGATACTTTTTCATATTTTCATCGGACTGCAGAGGTTTCACGCTATCTACCTTTGCCTGATAAAAGCTGTAGATCTCTTGATAGAATTTCAAAGCAGCGGTTGGCTCTTCGTTTGTCGGTGCCGATGATTGTGGCAGTTGCTGTTGTGTTTGCTGCTGTTGTAACTGCATCGACTGTTGTGTTTGGTTTGCTGATTCCTGCTGCGCCTGACCACTCTGCTCTGCTGTCTCATTTTGTGGAGGCGCCTGTGCCTGCACTGTGGCGGTTGCTGGAGTTGATACTTCCACTTGTGTCGCATCAAATGCTGATCGTGACAATGCCAATGCGGCAGCGAGCTCTTCCTCCTCAGCTTTGCGTTGCTCTTCCTGTCTCGCTTGTTCTTGCTGCTTCACTAATTTATCCAAATCCTCATGAATTGTCGCATACAAAGCGTCCATTTTGTTGCACAGACTGTCGGCCAGTTTCAACTCGGTAGCACCGCATTCGTCTGTCTTTATTTTGGTCGTTAACTGTTCGAAAAGCTCGACAAGTTCCTTCAATTGACGATTGTAATCGCTACACGAGAGCAGCGCCTGTTTGTCAATGGAGATAAGTGCCTTTGCAACCGCTTCATATTTGCTGCGAAAAACGCTATGATATTTTGCCACACACTGAAAAGAGAAAAGTTGTAGCTGACGCTTGGCTTGCAGACGCATGGCACCCATTTGCCTTTCGATTTCTTGCAACTCGAGTGCGCTTTGTCTTTCAGCCTCCTCTAGTATGTGTGCGTCATTGCGCTGCTTCTCCGCGATAAGCGCATGCATTTGTTTGCTTTGCTGTTCACGTAGGCGTGCTGCATTTTCTCGTAATACTGTCAGTTGCTTCTCCTGCATGTCTTGCATTTGCTGGCGCACTAACTTCTTGCGTTTCTCTTCAGCGTCGCGCAGCATGAGGGTGGCGCTAACCAATTCATAGTCTAAGGACTTCAATGGCAATGAGGTTAGAGTGAAAGGTCTACACTTGCATTATTTCTACTTACTGGTGAGGGTTTCAGCACGGGTATTATCAGCTTTGGGGAACTTTCTTGAGATTTTGGTGTTTTTAGCTTTTGCGCGGGAATATTTTTGGGACTGTTGGGTGCACTATTGGTCGATTCTTCATGTTTGTATTCGGGCAGATCTGGTCCTATTGTGCGCTCCTTAACTAACGGCGAAATTTCAAGAGCATGCTGGAGCGTTAGCTCATGTGGCTTAATGAGTTCTTCTACCTCGACTATTGGCTCAATATCGACGCCCTTGTGTGTAGATAACATAACAAAATATTTTAAATTATTTAGTTTATAATTTTACATACATATATGCACTTACCACTCCACTCATTTTAAATTGGAGAGCGTAACTTTTTTTAGCTTGATGCAATTAGTTATAGAAAAAAACAACATTTATCGCTACAAAACTCAGTAAATAAACAAATTATGCAGATAGTTAGCGCAGAATCATGATTCAATAATACAAGGTTAGATAATTATTGACAGCTGCGGTTTGACACTCCCTTACAAAAGGTTGCATTTACGGAGGACAGAGAAAGGGCAAGAATGCAATCCCTTGTTTCGAAAATGGTAGTAGAAAAGTACGCAAGTAGGCAATTAGTAGTGAAATCCCTTTCGTAAATTCTAATGTATTTGCAGGAAATCTGGCATTTTAAACGAATGGTTGAACGTAATATTGATATATCTACGTGAATTGAATCATGGCGCAGAATTGCTGCAGAAAATATAGAATGCTTGAATTAGAGCTGGGATACTATCGATAGTTGGAAACTGTCGCTACTATCGATAGTTTTTGAAAACTATCGATGTCGGTTTTAGCGAAACTTCACAATGTCTCTTTACATTCCTACACATAACAATAATTTTTTTATGAAAAAAAAATCACAACTGTCGGCAAAAAAATTTCAAGTCATTGGAATTTTTGCAACTATATGCTTACACTGAGCTATAGTAAAATTTAATAAGCTATAAATTTTAATTATTTTGTAGTTTTTTATGTTTTATACCCTTTTTATACAAAAATAGTAGACACTAGTCAAACAAATAAAAAGTCAAAACTGCTAAAAAATGTTGTAGTGCTATTATTTTGACCAGTACTTTATTCGGTTTCTTATAACTTGGTAATATGTTAATAATTTCCCCTGTTCGGATTTTGATATGCGCCTCCGTATTTGATACCAGTGGAACTTTTATAAGTATGAGTTGTCAATTTAAACGAATATCTTTTGTTTGTTTTGTTGTACTAGAAATGTATTATTATAGCCAATTTCACTTCTTTGCACTCCAAAAGGGACAAACAAAATCCGAATTAAATTTTTCTATATAAAGAATAAGTACAGATTTTACCTGTCGCTATTTAAGTGGATGCAAGTATATGTATATAAGTATATATAATTCAGACGCATAAATTAAAAGTTTATTTTATTATTATAAGAAATTGTTTTTGATGCACTCAAATTTAAAAAAAATTTATATAATCTCTTTAGTTTAAAAAGTAATTTATACATCTTATAAATTTATTAATTTTGCGCAATTGCGCGTTTCAAATCAATACCTTTCCGACGATAGTACTATCGATGGTTTCAACTATCGTTTCGAGTGAGGTACGTTTGTACGTTGAAAATTCAGCAATAATTATCCAACACTCAAAATATCAGAGAATGAGAAAAAATTCTCTCAAATTCTCTCTCATGTTGAGAAACTCGCTAATTTCTGCACGAACGCCAATTTGTAGGAATTCGCAAGTTTCCCTGCCAGCTGGTTTCCACGGTTGCATTTCAAACACAATAAAGTTTTATAGAATTTTTAAAATTCTTTCAGATGGAAAAAACTGGATATACATGCATATTTTTTGTTGTTCTGACTTTCTTTAATATACATTTCAATTTCCTTATCGTACTAGCTGTCGGCTTCTTTATATCGACTCTGGTTGCAATTGCATTGCGAGTTAATTTCAAATCATTGGAATTTACTAAATTAATTATATCAACAAATATTTACTTCCTTTTTTCATAAAAAAAATCGTTCGTGTTTATTAATTTTTAATTTAACGGACTTATTTATTCCAGCAAGAATTTGCAACTGCTCTGATTGATAATTTTTTGGTCTGCACGAACGCGATTTGGGCAAAATCATAATTCGTAAAAATTTTTTGGTCGACGAACAGACCTAATTATGCGCCATCGAACAGCTGATATAAGAACAAAATGGAAAAGAAACACTTCTGCATTGTTAAAGTTAAAAAAAATTTACATTTTGCGAAAAATCATGATTATTTGCAATAATACGTACCTATGTCTATTATTTCGTTAAAAAACCAATCGTTCGATTAAAGCAGATTTGTAATTTTCTTTCCTAAGCCTTGACAGACATTAATTAATATAAGTTTATTTACACATATGGAACTAGCAAAGAAAGCACAGACCCCTAGAAAAACTTTATGCCATAACTATCATCCAATTGCACCACCTCACATTTGCCTTTATTCTCTAGCACGCGCATCGCATTCAACAGCACCGCCTCGTCTATGCCATGGAATTCCATGCCCTCGGAATTATCACCAGATGCAATTTCATACAATGTACAAATCGTATTCATTTGTCCAGTCTGCTGTATCCAGTCATACACCATATTCGCATATTCCTCCAATGTATACCAATACACTTGCCATTCCACGCGTCGTTTATCTAGCGGAGCTGCATGTCCGGTACGTTGCAGCTGTTCCAATATGTGCAATATAGTTTCGGCTGACAAGCGTCGCTTCAATGCTTCATTGTAGAAAAGTGGAAACCCATTTTCGTTGATATTGACTTGGAATTTGTTCAAATGCTTGAGGTAGCGCAGAAAGAGATCAGACCAAACTTTTATTTGTTGATTGCGTGTCTCCTCGTGGGGCTGTAAACTGGGTGATGTGGAAGAGGCAGTAGCTGTGATTAAAAATTTTCGGGATTATTTTTAGCTGACTTACGTGAAAAATGGTGGAAATGTGTACTCCCATGGCCACTGGAATTCAGTCATTTTGTAGAGGCTTGAGAAGTGATTTTTCAAAAATCCAAAAGATGGCAAGTATGTGTATTAATGAAGTACATACAGTGCTGGTTCTTTTTAAAGTAGTTTTAACTTAAAATGCTTGCAAATTTGTTTTGTAAGTGTTTAAAAAATGTTGCGGTGTTTTGCATAGACCAGTTACACAAATGTTTATTTTTCTTTTGTCTGTTGCTATTTAACGGCGTTGTAGTGGTAATGAAACACAGGGTGTCCTTATTTTGCAAAATAACGTAAAAAATATTGCGCAATATTTCCACATGACAGCCATATACTGTGCACTTCTGCGCGCCTATTGATATCGGGGAAATCGAAATTTGTGCTTGCGCCGCGGTAGTAGGGTGCGCGCGACTTTTGAAATCGTCGGTTTTTCGCCGAGTGAATTGATTTTCAAAGAATTTCGGGCCGTCCATTTGAATTCGCACCAAATTTTGTCAAATTTCGTGTCTGCACAGCTATATTTTACTTTTCCCGCTAATTTCCCACCCGTTTCACAAATAAAACACCTTTCAAAGATTACATTAAAATGATTTTAGTATATTTAAATATACATATTTTTACTTACTCTTAGAAAAAATGTATTAACATTTTTTGCTATATACTTTTTTCTTATAATCCGTATTTTGCTCATTTTTCTATATTGTGTTCTGTGAATTTCTTCGATAAACGTTTTTTTATAGATTTTCAATAATATACAAAAAGGGACCGACCAGATTTCAACTTTTAACTCCATGCGCGTCTACGCATTGCAATTGCGGGCAAATGTTAGCGCATCATCAATTTTCGAAACACTCACTTTTAGCGACACAAACATGTTGATTGATACATTTCTCGTTTTGTTTTGTTTTTTTTTGCTTTCTTTTCTATTTTAAATATACGTTTATATAGATTTATTTATTCATTTAATATTTATAATATACGCCGAAACTTACAGCTAATTTACATATACATTTAAAGTGTTTACAGCATCTCTTCATTCAATATTTCTTCAGTATTTACTCCTAGCTCACGTCTGCGGCAACAACACAATACTCATTTCGATTTAGTGTTTGTATATATATTTCTTTTTACCTTATGTATGTAGTATTAATCTTTTTCGTTTACATTATTTTTTATTTCAAATATACAAGTTACATAGGGCTATGGCAGCGTGTTAGTAAAACGAAAAACACAAATATAACAAATAAATGCACAAAACAATTTATAATAAAAAATATTAATATACACAGCAATGAATTGCCTTATAAAGCTTACAAAACATATACAAAAATTAATTAAGCAATATTTTTTTAATTACAAGACTATCGTATCGCCGTTTTTTTTTTGCTGATTTACTGCACAATTGGAAAATAAATTTGCATTGCATTTTGATTTAGACTTATAAGGTAATAAATGCCTATATTATTACTACATCTTAGTACAATATTTATATAATCATACTTTATTTGTTTAATCCTCTTTTTTTTTGCTAAATGTATACAAATTACACAATCCTCTGTGTGTCTGGGCAAGCGCAAATTTTTATACATTTTTATATGCTATTTTATAATTTTGAATATACTACCGTGCGCTCTCCGCCAAAATTCACACATACATACATAGGTTACTATGCAATTTCGCTCATGCTACTTTTTTTACTAAATACAGTTTTCTTTTATTACTGAAATTGTTAAGCTAATTTTCCATTTTTTTTTATTTTTATTTACTTCATTTTTTGGGTGTGCGCCGTTTTTAAATAGTACAACAACATACAGAGAAAGTACACGAGTGGTTTACATTTACAGCTGACTGCTTCAAGTTTATCGACTTCTTTCTTCAACTACTATTAAACACTATTAAACGTTTCAAAATCCTGCCGTTTTCTTTGCAGTTTTTGGCTTTATTCTTTTAAAACACTAAAAAAAAAAAATTTTTTTTCTAACTTGAAAGATTTTCGTAAATGGTGCGCTTTTGTAAGGAATGTTGATACGTCTTCCAAATTGCCTTGCGAGAGCGGTTAAATCAACTTCAGTGAAGCTGTGAAAAAGTGACGACTGCTGAGAATAAATTGTTTTGCGTGTAAATATGGCAGACTTTCACAGCCAGCGCTTAAGTTCAATGAACCACACTCCGCCCGCAATTTGGCAATACAACTATGTACATATACACATGCAATATTTGAACATTTATTTTCCTTCACTATCATAGGTCTGTGTAGCTACACTAATGTACAACTTTTTTTTGTTTAATTTTTAGTTTTTAGTTCGACAGGATACGAGTGGAGGTATTCGATAGTGTTTTAGTTTTACGTGTTAGTTTGAAGACGAGCACGAAAAGAAGGTCTATAGTGGATATTTCTCTAGTGTTGGAGGGCAGGCTGCCTTTTTTTAGAAACGTTTAGTTTAGGGAGTTTAAGCGATTACTGGTTTTTCAAAAGAGTACACCTATTACAGTTACGTTTATTTACAATTATGTACGATTGAAGCGATTTCTTATGCACTTTACGCAGTTAACTTACAATTAAAGATGCATGTATTCTTCTTTTACGAAATAGGAAATCGAAATGGAAAAGAAACAAAATGTTTTACACTTAATTAGAAATGCTTTGGAAAAAGTTTGGTTGATAAAAAATACAAGAACACAAATTCGGGAAACCTAAAAAAATCCATTTCAGTTAAACAACAAGTAATTTTTACAAAACCGACTTCAATCCTCATATAAAAATTTAATAGTACCGTTACTTTCTTCATGACCAAATGATCGGATCTAAACTAAATTAGTATGGGACCACCCTTGAGTCAACACCTTTCGGATAGAAAGTCATCGAAATCGGTTAACGTGGTAATAAAAAAAAATATTCCGACGAATCGATAACCTTCTCAATTTTTTTTGAAGTCGGTTGAAAAATATTCCGACGAATCGATAACCTTCTCCTTTTTTGATGTCCGTCAAACTAAAGGCTTATGGGATTAGAAGGTAGACCAGTTTAAATTTTGAACGATTTCGATAGAAAACAAGTATTCAAATAACGAAAGTGATATACAAGGTTAGAACCAGTTTCCATTTCAACCAGTTTGAATGGAAAAAACAAGTATTCAAACGATGAAAATGTTAATAACATTTGGATCAGTTTCAATTTCGGCTAGTTTTGATTGAAAAACAAGCATTGAACGTGTTTTACAAGATTTACAGCAGTAACTCCAAATATTCGAGTAAAAAAAAAAAATGTATTAAAGTTTGTTCGACCACATGCCAGCTTTATTTAGTTAGGCCAAGAGCTTTGAAATTGTACAGTATAAACTGAAAATAATCAAAATTGGAAACGATATTTTAAACCAGTTCGATAAATAGTGCTTAGAATGTTAAACCCGAAGGTTCAGCAAAATATAACCTCATACGAATTATTCAGACTAGAACTCGGCTGCAGAAAACATTGGAGGCAGTAAAAAATTTTGGAAAAAAACTAAGAACTTCGGTTTCAGACGAAACTTTATCAAAATTTAAATAAAAACAATTCAAAAAATTCAAGAAGTAAAATATGTAGAAAATAGCAGCCAAAAATATGTCAGAAAGTTGCCAAAGTTGTAAGTTGTCCTAAAGTAAAGAAAAATAAAACTTTTAGACCTGCTTGATACCAATTCGGTGTGGGTAAAAGTTTGAATTTTTGTGAAGTAAATATAGCTTTTTGTGGTACAAACGAAACGAAACTGAAATGCATCGAAATATAATATTTTTGTACCAGCAGAGTTTACCACTACGCATAATTATTATTTTTTTGTCAAATTTCAATACTATTCCTTCGAACCTTTTTAATGAATGTTTTATGCTTCAACAACAAGTGCATCAAAATTATCGAATCGAAAAATGTAAATAGTATCCGTTAGGTAAAAAAATAGGGCGACATAAAACGGAGGCAAATGTATTTGTACAGAAACTTTAGAGTAATAGAAAAAATAAAAGAAGTTGAAGCTTTGGTTTTTTCCCTATAAATCAAAATTGCATCAGCATAATAATTATAAATACAAATTATAGAAAAAAACCTTGAATGTTTAGAACTATGTAAATGTGTGTATATCAGAACAAACAAAAAATGTTAGACCATTCATTTTAATTGAACTGAATTTAAACATTTGCGTCGATGTTTATAAATTAGTTCGTAGCGTAATTTAAAATTTGCTTTATACTAAATTACCGGCTAAATTTTTTTTTATTAATTTTTTGTCAACGACAATGCTTTATGAATAGAAAAAATTTCTTTAGAATTTGGATATTAATTATAATACCAAAAAATGTAAAAAATGCATTTACAAAGTATACTTCCAAACTAAAGCGTAAAGTGAGTTTCAACGAAAATTAAAAAAAAAATTTATAATAAATAGTTTCTTTCAAAGCGTCCAAAACCAGAGTAAATACTTTCTTTTAGAAAAATTATCCATAAGTAAAAACTACTGCAAAATGAAGCAAAAAAATTTTCAGTAATGTATGATTCCGATCTAAAACCCAACAAAAAATAAAATCCATTATAAAAAAACTGTAATCTCCACTAGCTTTTATGTAGTTATGTATACATTTCCGGCGGCACAGCAAACAAGACTTGAAACAAAATAAAAATAAACACGCTACTAAATAGTTGCTTAAAGCTTTAAGAGTTACAACAAAATGTCTGGCGGCGAGGAAATTACGCTTTGCCGCTATCTTCTTTTTGGCTCAGCTTAGCTGGGCATCATGTATGGTGTGCAACAGCAGGAGTTCTATAGTTTATCATTAAACATTTACATGCATACGTACATATCGGTATGTTGTATTCATTCTTTACATACTAAATTTGTTATACGTTAATAAATATCTCTATTACCTTTTGCGCTTTACACGTATAACATTCATACACTCACATCCATACAAAAACAATTAGTAATGCCTTCAAAGCGAGCTTTAAACTAACAGCTAAAAAGCCAAACACTAGTGTCTTACGCATATGTCTGTCTTTAAATCGGCTTTGCTTTAAATCAGCGCCGGCTTGCCTCGACGCCTGACCGCTCTGCAGCTACGCTAATTAATTTTTTTTAATTACACTACCTGACCTCCGAGGTCCAGCTGCTGTTTCGCTCCTCACTTGGGCAGCGGTTCCAGATAACAGCGCACTGTATTATTCTCATCAAGCATTGCAGAAATATTCCGGCCAATAATCGGCTGAGTGTGCGACGATGACGGTGTTGTTGCTGTTGTCGCCTTTAGTGTTGTTGGCGACAATTGTTGCCTCTTTGGCAGGGGATACTGTTGTTGTTGCTGATTGGCCGGCGGTAAAGGTGGTCCACCACCACCACCGCCTCCATGAGTCGTCGTGAATAGTTCGTGTACGCCTATTCGATTACTCGGTGAGATCTTTTTTAAGGCGCGTATTGATCCCGCGCCGCCACTGCCACCGCCGCTAATGCCAAAAACCGTCGCGCCTATGCCACCACCATTACCGCCTGACGCGGCTGACGATGCTGCATTGTGGTGATCAAAGTAAGCTGCTACCGCTGCTGCCTTTTCGCTCACTGTGTTGTCGGCTTTTTTGCGCTGCCTTCTGTAAAATAGCAAAATATAGGAGAAATTATTAGAATCAAGCACTGCAGCAATCAAAATTTAGCGTGACTTAAATATTTGTTGTGGCCTCTACACGCTCAAATATAACGCGTAAACTTACTAACACTACAAAACATTGAACCCCCACAATTTAAGAGATCTCATTCTACGCTAGCAAATATCTTATGTAGAAAAATTGTTCTTCAATACTCACTGAAACCGCCGCTGAAACTCTTCATCCTGCATCGCAATCAGTCGCCGCATGCGTTCGTCGCCCTGCGGCAACCCACGCCGTTGCGCGCTTTCGTCCTCTCCATCGTCTTCATTGTCGTCGTCGTCGTCCTCGTCGCTGGACGCACCACTCTCTGCATGGCCATATCGACTGCCACCTCCATTGCCACTGCTACCGGCGCCACCCAAAACACCATTTCGCGCCGCCTCATAGTGATGACGCTGACGTAGCTGTTGCTGCCTCTGTTGACGGCGCATGGCACTACCACTCTCACTATCGCAACAATTCACTTCATCGTCATCGTCGTCGTCATCATCGTGATGACCATACATATTCAAATCCATATCGTAGTGTTGGACATCGGAATTGCGATTACTGAGGATTTCCTCATATACTGGGCCATCGCCACCGCCAATGGAGTTTTGATTGTAGTACTGTTCGCTACCCGCGCGTCCGCTCGGGTCATACTCCTCATGGCTCAGATCACAGTTGGAATGCTTATTTCTATAGTAACGCTGTGTCGGCGTGTGCGCTGCGCCCATAAACTCTGGCGAGTGGTGATGGGGATAGTGGTACGCGTGTGGTGCGGGCGCAGGCGGTGGTGGCAATTGTGAACCGGCGCGTCGACCTAAGTGCAGCAAATGCGCATGCGCTGCTGCTGCCGGCTCTAATTGTTCCTCGTCTGAGGATAGCTGTTGCTGCTGTTGATGATGTGCCGCCAACATCATGGCTGCAGATGCATGGCGACGATGTTGTTGTTGTTGCTGCTGATGTTGTTGTTGCTGTTGGTAGTAGGCAGCTGCACCAACCGCTTCGTCGTAATGCGGATACTGTTGCTGATGCTGCTGTTGTTGCTGCTTCAACGTAGTCTTCTTGTACGAGGGATAGAAGAGAATCTGCTGCAAAAAATTATGCGTTCACAAAGAAATTAATTAATTTTTTGTTTTATATCTGTGGGTTTACAATTTATAGACTCCATTTATTTTGAAACTCACTTGTGAGGCCGCTGTGGTGCGGCTATGCAACGAGCCGCTCGGCGAATCGCCACCAATTCCACTACCGCGCTTCTTCTTGCCATGCGGCTGATGTTTTTGCGTCCAATAAAAGAACTCATGGGCCTGCTGCGGGGAAACGGCATTACCCGGGTAGTCGCGTGGATGCGCCAAACTCAAAGCATTATTACCACCGCTCGCCTTTCCCATCGGCTGCTTCCAGCCGTAGTAGTCAGGTTGATGGTAGTACGCCTCCTGTGGCCCGCCGCCAGCTGATGTGATACCCGCGCTAATCATCTGCTGCTTCTGCCCGCCAAAAATGAGGTGCGTTGAGCCAGCCGACGAGGTAGGTGAAGTGTGACCGGCACTAGGTGTGCGCAGACCGCCACTGCCGCCCACTGAATGCAGTGTATTTCCACCTCCACCACCGCGCTCCAGCACAATATGGCCTTGCATAGCGTCAATTATAGAGTGCCCGCCCTTGCCATGCTGCAACGACGACATATTCGGGCCAACGCATTTCACTGCATCCGCATCGCCATCCCCGCCGACTGAAGCCAAAGTACGCGAGTCATTCAGCTCACAATCTGAAGAAGCAATAATAGCATCCTCAGCGGCCGATATAATATTGCCGGTCTCATCCGACACTAAGCCATCACTGCCTATTGGCAATTTCGACTTCTTCAATTGTGCTGTGCTTGAAGTGCCGCGATGCGTGCCGGAAAGAGTGCCACCAGTACCACCACTGCCATTGCCCGTGCCGACACCACCAGCACTGCCAATGCCATTATTGCCCACTATGCCCGAGGAGATGGAGGCTTTCGAGCAGCGCAAACACTTAGGCAGCCAAGAGTTTTGGCGTACATATTTACGATATTCGCGACGGATCTGCAGGCAAATGGGGAATGTAGAAGGAATTGAATATTAGAAGTACGTTAAAAAAAAAGACGAAAATAAATGGAAATGAACTGCAGACGGTAGGACAAATCGTTACTTACTTTTTCATTTTGTATGCAATGAAACACGAAAATATACAATCCCATTAGAGTATTAAAACTAATGAAAAGATAGCCGCATACAACGGCCAATTCATCTTCCGTTTTGGAGAGACGCAAATAATAGTAGGCGGAAATCCAAACGGCGCTCAGTAACAGCAGAAATATAAATGAGCAACGAATGTCGAAACTGTGTAAAAGCAAATTTGAATGAACTCGCAAAAAGTAATAGTAAGAAATGCAATGTAAAAATTTAATTAATTGTACGGAAACGAACAAAACCATGTGAATCGATATTAATGTTTCTATAAAAACATCTATAACAATATCGATTAGAAACATATCAATAACGATATTAATAAATATATCAATACCTCGGTAAAAAATTATCAATAACTACACAAAAAACAACAATTATTTTGATAACGATTTCTTGGTAACAATGACAATAAATATATTTGGGTTGTTCACACTTGCCTGGTTATCAGGTTATCTGGTTAAAAAATTATTATTCTGTAGTGTGTTATTGTTGTAAAGTGAATAGAATATATAACCACATAACCTGATAACCAGCGAAGTGTTAACAACCCAATTGAAATAAACATCGATAAATTTATCAATATGGTATTTCCACGCTTTTTATTTATATGTTTTTGATCTTGGCCTTTAATTAATTTATTGTAGAAATTTCCGTCGACCAGGCTTAACGATAAGTAGTCTTATTAAATAATAATTCAAAATATCGGGTCTCGAGCTTGCGAAAAATTCTACAATATACAATTTACTTTTTTCTAAAAAGCAAAACACTTCTTATACGTACCGCACATTGGCAAGCCGTGTGTGTTCCTTATTTTTCAGTGTTGTATGACTCTTGCGGCACATAATCACCCACGACAGGAATGTGTAGCCGATGGCGCCCTTAAATGACATTACCAAATTATTGTAGGTCATTCTTAACGCCAAGGGCAGTGCCAACTTACCAGTAAAAATAGCAAAACAGGCGCCACAAAGCTCGAATAGAAAAGCGTATTTGCCTCCATTAGCACACAAAAATCATTTTGTGTATAAGTATTGGGATTAATGACCAACGAAATGGCAACAATTGTGAGCGATAGGCCATAGGATAGTAAATAGTAACAATTCACTTTAGAGGTTTGGTCAACTTCCAGTAACATGTCATCGGTGGTTAGTGTTGAGTATGATTGGAATGCTAAGGGAGATTCCGAGAAAATAAAGAAATATGTACATATGTATAAGAAAGATCTAAATACAAAAAATGTATATTAAATTTATGTATCATCGATTGTCATAACCTTAACCTGATACGAGTTTCTAAACATATCGATAACAATATCGTTAAATTCTATCATTAAATATATTTTGCAACTAATAATGAAGCAATGAATTTTTTTTTTAATTTTTCAAAACATTCACCATAAAGCTTTTTAAGGGGTGACCCATCTATACCTTTTTAATTTTAAATAAAACACATGAAACAGAACCGGACATCGGAATCTTTATTATTACCTAAAGGAACAATCTCTGGCATTTACTTTTTAAAAATGATTTATCGTTCTCAAATCCCTACTGCGACGCCTCCCGCTACCACCATATGGCAGCACCCTCCCGAGCAGCACACAGCAAATGTCTGAAAGGCATGCAACACAACTCGCTGACACCCCACAAGGCGCTGGATACATTGCGCACCATCGAGACCGCGAGCAAGATAATGGTGGTGGCTTAGCTTGGTAACACCGAACCTACATCAAGTTTTCCAAAGCTGTTTGGAGCGGCTTCGCGGAAGTTACTGAAAGTATCTTCTCTGCCCTCCCCACACCAAACGACGTTCACGTAGGTGAGCTTAAGTTCCGCAGGGTTGTCACTGCTGCTGCAGCCCACTTCATTCCAACTGGATGTTTTTCGCACCCCCGTCCAAATTTTCCTGCCGAAGTGGCTGCCCTAGCTGACGAGCGTGACAACCTTCGTCAGGCCAATCCCGGAAATCCCCGCATCAGGGATCTCAATGCGGAGATTCGGCAGCTTGGGCTTGTTGCAATCACAACCGGCTTGTTGTGCGAATTATTAAAGTATCACGTTCGGTTTAGATTTTTGGCAAACGTTTTATCAATTGGGAAATTGCAACAGTTATGCAAATTTTCATCCGCGCTGCAGTATTGCTGCTTTTATTACGTTCCTCGAACAGGCCCCTTGTGAACGTACATAAACGGAAGAAGTGGGAAGAGAACTTGCAACTTCACCTCTGGTGAGAGACAGCTTTGGTCAACCGTGAGGTCACTGTCCAATCCGACAAAGCGCGACGACAGAGTCTGAATCACTTTCGGCGACCACGCCTCGTCGGATACGGAGCGATGCACAAGCTATTTCAGCCGACAATTTAATTCAATCAATCAATTAATTTTGGTCTTGCGGGAGTAGACTATTTAGCCAAGGTTTTTAACCTGTCAATGGCCACTCTCGTCGTTCCCGACATCTGGAAGATGGGGAGGGTGGTCCCACTGATCAAACTGGGGAAACAAGCCAACAAAGGAGTCTTATGGCCCGATAACTCTCCTTTCCCCGGTAGCGAAGACACTGGTGGCCTTGCTGCTCCCTCATTTTACGAACCACCTGACCCCAGCGAAGCATCAACATGGATTCACATGCATAGCACAACAACAGCACTTAACACCATAAACACTAAGATAACACGTGGCCTAAACCGTAACCGCCCCTGTGAAAGGACTATTCTAGTAGCGTTAATTCTGTCAGAAGCGTTTAATACCGTCAGTCACTCCACACTGCTAGAACACATAGAGGCCTCCCCTCTCCGGCAGAGCCTCAAACGGTGGTCGGCGAATTATCTGAGTGGTCGACGCTCGTCAGTAATGTTTAGAGACAACTTGAGCAAATCCAGGAAAATAAAACAGTGGGTTCCATAGGGTGGTGTTCTTACCCCACTACTGTTTAACTTCTACATTTCAAAGCTCCCTCAACCGCCAGAGGGAGTCTCGATTGTCTCTTACGCCGACGACTGCTCGATAATGGCCACTGGGAATAGAGTTGATGACTTGTCCTCGAAAGTAAACGGTAACCTCTACGAGATTTCTCGCTTCTTTACTGCAAGGAGCTTAACCCTATCCCCTACAAAATCCTCAGCTACCCTATTCACCACCTGGACGATGGAGGTCAGACTGCAGCTGGGTATTCAACTCGATGACAAACCAGTTCCTAAGGTGAATAACCCGAAAATGCTCGGAGTGACTTTCGACAGTCTTCTCTCCTTCTCCGCGCACACAACCGCAATTGTCAACAAAGTACGGAACCACAACAAGGGTCTCAATTCGCTAGCCGGCAGCACCTGGGGCAACAAAGAAACGTTGCTGGTAACATACAAGCCTATTGACCGGCCGGTTCTAAACTACGCAGAGCCAGTCTGGTCGCCGGGGACCAGTAGGACGCAGTGGATGAAGCTGCAGACAACTCAGACCACAGCACTCCGGATGTCTTCTGATGTCGCTATATCACCTGCATGACGATGCGCAAATGCTCCTCATTAAGGAGCACAATACAATGCTCGGCATGCAATTCTTAGTAGTGTAAGCATAAGCATGTATGCACGTTGACTAACAAATACGATGTGTAACTAGCCCTTAAGCTATTTTGCAATTGTGTTTACACCTTAAGTTATGTGTCAAGACCTTAAGATTTGGTTGTTTTGTTAAGAGCGTGGGTAACCACCATCTTGGCATTGAATAAAAGAATCAGAATCAGATTGACTACCAACCACGCTAGACGTTTGTAATTTATTATAGAGTTCGTTTAAGCGTTTTCAGTAGGGAGCCACAGGCGTGAACACCCGAACAGACACTTGCTCGCTGAGGAGCCCTCGCCCGACAGCATATCGACAGGCCTTGAACGGCATTCGCAGGGAGTCAGTCTCATGTTACGTAGACTCCAGACCTGTGATAGCCGTTCTGGGCACACAACCACCTGACGTGGACGAGACGGAACTTCGTTTGCCTCGAGAGACTCGGGCCAAAATAGCGCAACCACGCTCTGCCTACTGCAGTACTGCAATGAATGCCCGGCATGCGGAGAGACACAGCACGACTCGAAACATCTTTTCGCATGCCTGTAAAACCCCACTCGACTGACGCCTCTGTCCCTATGGACGGACCTTATAGAAGCTGCACGTTTCTTGGGTCTCCCGTTAGTTGAGCTTGCCGACAACGAGTGTGAGACTAGCCCATATGGGCGGGATTGTGGTTATAGCCGCTACAACAACAACAACAACAAACAGAGCTTCGTCTGCCTCGGGGGACTCGCACAACAATAACCCAACTTTGCTCTGGCTACTGCAGCAGGTTAAACTCGTACCTGAGCATGCGGAGACACCCCACGACTCGAGACATCTCTTCGCATGTCCCCTAAGCCCCACTCAGCTAACACCTCTGTCGGACAAATCCACTTAAAGTTGCACCATTCCAGGGGCTCCCATTAGTTGAGCTTGACGACAACGATTGAGACAAGCCAATCTGGGCTGAGTTGCGTAGCCGCTACAGCAACAACAACATGTCGCCAACATTTGGTTCAAGTTATCGTGTGATACCACACCTCTGGATTTTTTTCTTTAGGATTAAGTGAAGTCGGTAAGCTTGCTATGATTCAAATTTTGGAAGCCAACATTACTCGCGTAATTCGCGTAATGCTGAAGAGTAATTAAAAATTCGACATTTTTTAGAAATTATTTTTAAGACGTAAATGTCCGAAAATGTCTTTCGGGTAAAAGTAGAGATTCCGACATTCGGCTCTGTTTTAAAGGGTTTATTTAAAATTAAAAAAGGTCTAGATGGATCACGCTGTATAAGATAATGATGAACAAAGTTGTATTTACTAAATAGCAAGTACAAAAGTGTTTAGGTATTTATGTTTTAGTAAGTACCAAATTACTACTATTTAGTTAAGCATTTGTACATACAAGTATGTATTTACTGTATCCATTTTCGATTCACCATTTCCCTACTGGCTTGCGGTCATACCTGCTAACTCATAGCCAATTTAACGAAAGAAATTTAATTGAGAAATGATTTTTTTTTTTTTGAATTTAATATGCAACGTTTCGGATTTAGCGGAGATGCTTGGCGAATCACACAGCAATAAATACTAAGTAGAAAGGTATAGCTGCTATAACTTCTACCGCTTAGACTTTGTTGCTTTTTCAATTTTTCCTAATAAACAATCGTGGTACAAAGCTCAATAAAAATATAAAAAAGAAAGGAATTTAGTTAGATGCGTCTAACGAAACACCGCGTACAAAAGTACCTTGGGACTTTGGCTTCACTAAATACTAGATACAGAAGAACTTAGTACTTTTGGCTTGACTTTTGTTTAACCATGTATAAAAGTAAAGAATCGCGGAATTTTCCAAATAAAATTTATTTGCGATTTGCTTTGCTGAGCTGAGGTGAGTTGAAATGAGGTAAACTGAATTTAGCTGGAATGAGTTGATGTGATTTAAGGTAAGGAACGTCAGGTGTTATTGTTTCAGATTTTCCTAAATTAAAAATTAAATTTAGCATTTAGCAATTCCTGAATAATAATAATAATAGGTTCGCGCCTACGCAATCAGATTTATCGTAAGCTTCGCACGAAAACCACTTTTTGGCGTGCGCCTTGATACTTTTATACAAATTGGAAGGACCTACGATTGTGTTTTTATGAGAAGCTATTTTTCATGCAGAAAAAACTTTTTATTTTTTTTTATGTTAGTCGCAAACTGGGCTCCATCCCACGCCCAGCGGAAGGGCAGAGCGCATTTCTAACCATTACACCACAACGGCCGCCAACCAGTAACTCCTGAATACCAAAGTTTTTTTCTTAAGTCCTGTATGCAGCTCTCAAGAAGAGCAAAAACTCCATGTAAAATGACGTACAAGAAACGGCTATGAAATTTTCTGGTGTAACATTGTCTTGAGGCAGTTCGCAGTTCTTAAGAAATTTACCACGCATTCTACTACACTTTTCTAAAGTTTTTTTGTGAAAAAAGAGCACAAGGCAACTAATGATTGCAACAGAAATATATGCTCGTTCCATTATTTCTTGAGGAAAGAGTGAGGTCACAGGCTGGTGAAGTATCAGATGTCAAAATTCCTTGGACACACAGTCGAAATAATGTAAATTTTTTTCTTGACCGTTTTCACGGGAGCTGCA